TGTTAATTACCTTTTTTTGTTTTCCTTTAAGCCCAGGCATAAATCATACTTCTAGTGCATAAAACACACTTCCAGTTCCACATCATGGGTATGTATGAATATAATAACATAATAATTTCAATAAACAAGGTATAAATAATTTAATCAGCACACCTAACCCTTCTCACATTTCAAACAGAAATGAGGGAGCCAGAGAATCTCACCAGGGTACACCCAAAATTTTAAAACTTTTAATTAAAAGAAATCATAAGGTTGGTCTTTTATTTTTAGAAAAAAAGCAATTTATAGAAAGCTCAAGCACCTTGCAGAGACATGATTTACAGAAATCACGTAGCAACTCTGCAAATGTTCCGGCAATTATACAGCAAGACTGCACGATTTACAGCAAAACTCCATGATTTTCAACAATCATAATAGTACCACTGAATGATATACTGCAATCATACAACTACATGATTTACAGAAATCACATAACACCACAGCATGACGTACAGCAATCACACAGCAAAACTACGTGATTTACAACAATCATATGATACCCCTGCCCGATCTACCGCAATCAAGTAGCAAAACCGCAGCCCGCAATATTCTGTGGGACGTCCCACCAAACGAAAACATCGGTGGCCACTGATCGCCTATTTGCACATCCCGCCAGCCAGCCGTTCACGGTCGGCCCGCCATCGTTCACCGTCGGCCCGCTATCGGGCGTGCGCTAGTCCCGCGTGGCGCCGATGATGGAGAGGATGAAGAGGAAGAGGTTGATGATGTCCAGGTAGAGGTTGAGGGCGGCGAAGATGTACTCCTCGGGGGAGAGGGCGTACTTGTGCTTGCCCCCCAGCATGAGCTGCGTGTCGAACACGATGTACTGAAACACACACGACACAGAGAGAGATATATAATACATGTGTCGAACACGATGTACTGAAACACACACGACACAGAGAGAGATATGTTATACATGTGTCGAACACGATGTACTGAAACACACACGACACAGAGAGAGATATATAATACATGTGTCGAACACGATGTACTGAAACACACACGACACAGAGAGA